GCCTTGTCAGCATCCTGAAAGGAAATTCAGAAACCCTGCTGCTGCTTACCTCCAGCCCCAAATCAGGAAATAGCTCACTTCTGGAATTCCTTCTTTTTAAGCAAAAAAAGGATCCCTCTGCCCTCAGGATGGTGACGATGATTCAACAATAACCAAATTAGAGGGGGGGGGGAAACAGAGAATCAGATCTCTGCTGATTTTGCTCCAGTCATTTATAAAAGGGAATTTCCAACTCCCCCCCCAAAAAAGAATTGGGGAAATATCTGACAAGTCATTCCAGCATGGCTTTCTGTCTACTAGACTCGGGCACCTTTGGCTGCATTGTGTGATACGAATAGCAAGGCGTAACATATTTTTTTTTTTAAGTGTGAGTGTGACAGTGTGATTATTGTGTTACGATTAAAGGTCCCAAAGTTTTGGCCCTCAAGGAGCTTGCAGTGGCAAAGGCACATAAATAAAGTCGTCCTCAATTTACGGCCACAATTGAGCCCAAAATTTCCGCTGCTAAGTGAGTCAGTTAAGTGAGCTTTGCCCCCATTTTACAAGCTTACTAAATTACTAAATTACTGCTTGGTTCTCAAGTTGGGGCAGATGACCTCAGACATCTGGCTGTCCAGGAATTAAATGGCCATAAATCTTAGGTTGCAAAGGACTATGGAAACTGTAGTCCAGATTATTTGCAGTGGGGGACTGCAGGACTATGGAAAGTGTAGTCCAGAATATTTGCAGCGGCATAGTTAAGTTACTCCCCTGTTACTAATTCCCCAGAGGTTGTTTTTCAAATCTTCTGTAATCAGTGATGTATTTTTGATGTCACAAATCTCCTTAGTTTCAACTTGGGCAATAAGTCTTAGAGGGGATTTCAGACACCGTATCTTAGATGCGACAGGCAGAAGGAATTGAGCACGACTTGACTTGTAAACCTGGATGTTTTTGACATCTCTGTTTAGAATAACATCCTGAATAAGATTCGCGCCCCTCCCCATTTCTTTCACTTGGTTTGATTATTTTTTTTTAAATAATGAGGTAAGGAGGTGGGTCTATTTCAAACCAACGATTTTGGGGGAGTTTCTAACAGAGAGAACCCCTGGGATATAAAATCACCTGTGATGTGGCTGTTTTTCATTCAGTCCTGCAATTCCTTAGCAGAGAATAAGACACTCAAGCGTGCTGCACAGGTTTCCAGGTACCGTCTCCCAGGGGAGAGATTTTTGGACCTAAAGAAAAAGGCCAAAATATTTACCCGGTGTGTGCAGTTCAAGGAGAACGTCGCGTACCTTTTCCCAAATTTTGGCAAGGTTTTAGCGATTTTTTTTTTAAGGAGGAGGGCAATTTAACTTATTCATATTTGCAAAACTGAGTTTCGTTTTTTTTGCAAGGCTGGTGGTGAGGCGTGCTTGGTTTAGCGTCTTGCAAATCTGACGTAATTTTTTTATAAATCTCTTTTCATTTCTTCAGTCCTCAGTAGAGTATATCGTTTGTTCTTTCCTAAACTTGGATTCTGCACTTCCTTCCTTCCTTCCTTCCTTCCTTCCTTCCTTCATTCATTCATTCATTCATTCATTCATTCATTCATTCATTCATTCTTTTGTTCCTTCCTTCCTTCCTTCCTTCCTTCCTTCCTTCATTCATTCATTCATTCATTCATTCTTTTGTTCCTTCCTTCTTTCCTTCCTTCCTTCCTTCCTTCCTTCATTCATTCATTCATTCATTCATTCATTCATTCTTTTCTTCCTTCCTTCTTTCCTTCCTTCTTTCCTTCCTTCCTTTCTTCCTTTCTTCCTTCCTTCCTTCCTCCCTCCCTCCCTCGACTTTTCCTCTCCTCTCCTCTCCTCTCTCCCCTTTTCCCTTCCCATCCAACTGCCACCTCTGACCAACGACTCAGATCTTTAATTTCTTCAATTCTAAAATATGATTCTGCAGACGAAACCATCCATCCCCTAGCGTGCCCTAATCTAATGAGATGTGTTAGCATTGACTCCCAGAATTCTCCAGCTCATCTGGTTGTCGCTAAGGATTCTGGGAGAAGAGAATCCATCCAGTTTATCCTCTCCCCCCCCCGCCCCAGGAATGGTAAACATGCTTTTTTAAACACTCAGGCCAAATTATGCAGGGTTGCAATGATTCAACTCTTCCTTTGCTTTTTCTTCTTCAGCTGGCAAATTCTAAATTTAGCGGCTTGGCAGGGCAGAACCTCCATGACAGATTTTTTTTGCAGGGCATCATGTCTGCCGGAGTCGGGCTAGGCATCCGTGGACAATGGAGATGCTTTTCTTTCTGACTGAACCCAGAAAGTTAAAAAAAGAAAAGGGGAAAAAAAAGAAAAGAATACATCCTGTTTGGAGGGGGAAATGGCTGTGAGGGATGAAGATGAACAAACAGTAACCATAAATAGCCTGGTAATGCCTGGCTGACATCAGCTTTTACAGCTCCCAAATTGGATGGAATAGGGCTGAAAGGAATTGAAATAGCTGCCTGACACCAGAAAGTTGAAAAAAGTGACTTACAACTGATAAGTCTGGAAAAAAAAGCGACTTACCACTGAAAAAAGTGACTTACAAACCCGGTCCTCGCACTTACGACCAGTCATATCAACAAAAGTTGAGCACTTGGCAACCAGCCTGTATTTATGACCGTTGCAGCCTCCCGGGATCACGCGATCCTCTTTTTTGACGTCGACCAGCAAAGTCGAGGGAAGCCAGATTCATTTAATGACCGTGTGATTCATTTAGCGGCAGTGACTCTCTTGACAACTGTGGGCCCCCCCAAAAAAAGGTTGTAAGGTTGGGCGTGATTCACTTAACAACCCTTTTGCTTAGCAACAGAAATTCTGGTCACAGTTCTCAAGTCAAAGGACTACCTGAAAATTGTTTATTATCACGATGGTGGTTTGATTCTCTTTAAAAAAAAAACTGGCGACTTTTCAATAGAGCCCTCTAGTCGGCTGTCCAGCTTTGATCCTTAGGGACCCAGTTGTAAGAGGGAAATAAGTTTATTTTATTTATTTATACATTTAGAAGTTAGAGTCTTTGCACCTGCAGAAATCTCCCTTGGCTGTTTTCTTCCTCTTTCCCAACCTCGCTGTTCTTTGAATTGGACTGCTATCCTATCTTTTCCCATTTGCAGAGAGGGGAAAAAAACCCCTCTTGGATATCAAGCTGTATTTCTGCCCCTGTGGCACTGAGATGTCACAAAGAATCGCATTTTCTTTTGCAGCAGCCTCCATGAGGTCTAGCGGCCTGACGAAGCACAGTCGTGTTACCCTCTCTTTGAGAAATGGGGCCATTTGTTCTCATGCTCAGCCAGGGAGGATTCTTTTGTGGTTTGGCCCTAGGAAAACCCATCGTCGTTCTTCGCTGGGTGACTCTGCCCAGATAAGACTCTGTGGTTTGAACAACACGTGGTTAAGTGCTAAAAATATTTGTGGTTAGGCTGCAAACAGGGCTGCGCCGGCAATCGTTGTGCAACACCTGTACCTTGGCTTCTGAAGTCACCAAAACAGCATATCCTCCCTATCTTGGTGGATTTTCTCTCTGTGCCCCAAGTAATTTTGCCTGCAAGATTTTCAGTGGAACCACAGTGGACTAGTTCCTAATGTTTGCCATTTTCATCATTTCTTTGCACCTTCAGAAAATGTATTGAAACGCCTCCTAGACAAGTCAAGAAAATAATATTTTGACTCTTTTTTTCTCCACTCCTTCCTTCCTTCCTTCCTTCCTTCCTTCCTTCCTTCCTTCCTGATGTTCGTCCCATTAAGTTTGACCAGGGATTTCTCAGCTAGAGCCAGATGCTGTGTGGACTTCAAATCCCAGAATTCCCTGGCATAGCTAGCCAGGGAATTCTGGGAGTTGAAGTCCACCTCTCTGAGAGTTGAGGTTGAGAAACATGGCTTATAAAGTGATTATCCATCCCCGCTCCCTTTTTTAAAGAGTAATTTACTGTCTTAGTTGAGTACTTGGCTAATTGTTAAGACACATTTTTTTCTGTGTGCTTTCAAGTCAGTTTTTTTTTTTAAACTGCACTAATGTCCTTAAAATGCTGCACGTGGCTATTTTTATTCTCTCGTCTTTCCCTCTCCCCTCCCTGACCATATTGTTGTGCTACTTGATGGAGATAAAGTTTAGTTAAATCTCTCTTGGGAAGACCTGCTTAATTATTAAATATACTTGATAGATGTTCTGCTTCTTCTGGGCCAGCAAATATTCGGGGAGCAGCGAGCAGGGATTAAAACTGTAGCCAGCCCATCGAATTGAACAGAAGCTCTGCTCCGTTGCATTTTATCCAAAACCTGCCTGCAGTCTTGAGTCTGGGGACAAACACCCCAGAGATGCTTGGCCTCAGGGTCCAGCAGCCGGGACGGCAAACGGCATAGCTAGCTAAGCTCCATTCAGCCAAATCTGAGGTTGCCCATAGAACGCTACTGTGGGTCATCCATGCAGGGAGCATGTAATAAGGACGTCTTAGTGGGGAAACAGTCTATAAAAAATGAAAATGAATGATGATGAGGATCTGTTGGAGATCATTTAGAATTCAAGCGCAAAAAGGGGTCAGACTAGATCTTTAAAAGCCAAAAAGGGGGTTGGATTAAATGACGTTTAAGTTCCGAACAGGGCTGGACTAGATGACCTTGAAGATCCAAAATGGTCAAAGCTAATTGGTGGTAAATAAGGAATTCAAGGCGGGCTGGACTTAGATCTCTTGTGAGCCTGAAGGGATTCATGACTGATGACGCGTTTGACCCCTCCCTCGCGCTCAGCCTAGTCCTTTCCTACAGACTAGATGACCGCTAAGATCCAAAACGGGGTTGGACTAGGCTGCTAAGATCCAAAACAGGGTTGGACCAGATGACCTCTAAGATCCCAAATGGGGTTGGACTAGATGACCTTTTAAGCTCACCCTCCACCTCCTGCGCCCCGTGAAGAAACCCAGCTGCCCATCTTATTAATACTGGGGTGTTCTTTGTTTTTCTTTTGCCCCCATCTCCCCCCCCATCCCTCCAGGTGGTTCCATCCAAACATCAGCGGGATTGAAGCAGAAAAACTACTCCTAACCAGGGGCATCCATGGCAGTTTTTTGGCCCGGCCGAGTAAAAGCAACCCCGGAGATTTCACTTTATCGGTCAGGTAGGTACTGCAATTTTGTCTCTAGTCAAGGGCTACCTGCACACTTAGTTTTCATTTTATAAACAATTTTTTCCCTTGCACATCTGTCACGGTGATCCCCTCTATTGTTCCGTTTAGCCTAGAATATTTCCCAGTTTTCATATTCTGAAAACTTGCTGTACATTGCCTGCCTTCTGCTTATATTTAATTGAGGGCGCTTTCAATATTTAATTACTTCTTCTTCTTCTTTTTTTAAAAGGTAGGTCGTGTTTCCTGCATGGAGAAAAGGAGAGAGAGGAAAGAATTCTCTTTCCGGCATAAGGAGAGTTAATTCTGTTTGGCCCAGTTTAAAAGCTGCTGCCTTTTCACCGGGAGCCCATTTCCGAGGCTCCCGTTAATTGCATTTTAAAGGCACTTTGGAGACAGTCTACTTAGAGAGCCCAGCCAGACTCCAGATATTTGATGGATGAGTTTGGTCAGAGAAAAAAAACAGCTCTCCCATTTCTTAATCAAGCTTTTTTTTTTGCTTTTTTTTTGCTTTTTTAAAAGAAAGATAGATAAGCGAGGGGACCCAAAGAATACACAAACAAGCACAGTTCTGCTTTTACGGCAGTGGTGCTAGCCGAAGATCCAGTTCATTGTCTTTTTTTTTTTTTTTTTAAAGCAAGCTTCTAGATCTCAGGACCATAAAGATAGTCCTCAACTTATAACTGTTTATTTAGTGACCGTTCAAAGTTACAAAGAGAGAGAGAGAGAGAGAGAGAGAGAAGGCTTCTTGCATGCCTGAAAAATATCTTACCTAGATTTGGGGTGAGAAGGATATTTAACCCAGATGTAAAAGAAAGTGATAACTGGGTTTGTTTTTCGGTTGTACAGAATTTCTGGCTTCGGGACAGGTTAATTCTAGATTGCTTTTTGGCTAATCTTGAAATCTGAATGATCTGTACCAATTTACAAAACATTTCAGCAGCCGTTCAATTTCCCTCGCTCTATTTTTTTCCCCCTCTCTGTTTTGCAATCTTCCAGCTTTCTTTTCAACCTTTTTTTTTTTTTTTTTAAGTCAAACTCGATGCAATTGTTGGATTAACCAAACAGCCACCTCGGTGCCTTAAAACACCCGAAAAGCTATCTGCCACAATAAAATAGGAATTAAAAAAAACAAACCACCCGATCCTCGCGCAATTTATTCCGGAGCGAGTAAGACATATTATAATATAAACCTGCGTTCCAGAACGCAGCTGCTCTAATTCAGTGCTGTATCGTTCGTTTTTTGTTTTTTTTTAATGGATGATTCCTTCATGCTGGTGGTTTTAATGGGCTTTAATGGACTGACCTAGCATTTTTTTGTCATTAAAAATACTTGCGTTGGTTGAAGTTCTGTATTATCTGCCTTCTTCATACATGCAAAGATAGATTTGGAGCAGAGCAAGGCACGCTTCAAATGTGGTTCGAAGGACGGATACGCCCTTGGGATCCTGTTTGGTTAAATTTTTAGGAGAAGGAAAAAAAATCTAACTTTTGGGGTGGATGGATGGAGGGAACAGGAAGTTGATTCCCAACAACACAATATCGTTATTGTGCCTTCGCTCTGCTCCTACGGTGACTCATCCTTGCCCTCTTGCCACAGTCTTGCCGGCGGCCCGCCCGTTTGCAAAATTTCTCCCAAAATTAGGAAACGTCTGATGTGACATAGGGTCTCTCGGCTTCCTTTAAAAAGCTGGTTGGAGGCTTCCAGGATACAGTTGTGGGTCTGCCTCACACAAAGGGTGGTGTGGCCTGGTGGCAGTCCGAAGGCCCTTCTTTACGGGCCAGCATCAGTTTAAATTTTGGGGAGAAATTAACGCAGGGAAAAGTCAAAAAGATTTTAAACGCGGCTTCAAGTCTTTCTCTGTGCCGCGAGAATTGATTGGCAAAGAGGGGTTGGGGGTATCCCAGCAGTCCTCGGCTTACGACCACAATTGAGCCGAAATTTCTGTGGCTAAGCCAAACAGTTAAGCCCCGTTTTACGACTTTCCTTGCCACAGTTTGGAAATGAATCCCTGCGGGCTGTTAGTAACGCAGTTGTTAATGTGACCCTTGACTTTGCTGGTCAGAAGGCCTCAAAGACCGTCATAAATACGAGTCATTTGCCAAGCATCTGAATTTTGATCCCCCCCGACCGTGGGAGGCTGCAACGGCCGTAAGTGTGAAAAAGGCTCGTAAGCCACTTTTTCCAGTGATGTTGTGACTTTGAGCGCTCACTAAACGAACTGCTGTAAGTTCAGGACGACATATTCATTCATTCATTTCATCCTGCCTTTGTCATTTTAACAAATGTGCATACAGTATATTATCTGATGTTTTATCCCTGCTGCGGACAGAATCGCAGCCTGTGTTTATTTTTATAATCTCCGGGCGTCTTTTGGAAAGCTGCCCTGGGGGGAGAATTGGAGTTATATGGTGTCCATCCGTCATCCTTTCCCTCCCCGATTCTTGATGGCAGGAGGAACGATGAAGTGACCCACATCAAAATCCAAAACACGGGCGATTATTATGACCTCTACGGAGGGGAAAAATTCGCTACCTTGGCGGAGCTGATTCAGTACTACACCGATCAGGAGGGCCTTCTGCGCGAGAAAAACAGCAACACCATCGAGTTACGGTTTCCACTCAATTGCCAGGATCCGACCTCAGAAAGGTGAGTTGGCCCAACAGGTGAAGGCAGCCAGCCCACGCAGGTCCTCCCGCCGGAGGATCGTGCTGGGGGATCGTGCTGGCCTACCTGATAAGATCGCTTGCGAGGATGGAGAAAAGGCTGCGGGAACGCTCAGAATCTCTTCTTGGACTGGGCGATGGGTTTAAAACGTTCCCGCGGATTCGTCTGGGGAGATTGTCGGTCATCCAGTTGTCTTAAAAGTGCTTTTTCAAAAGGCAGCTGGGCTGCTTTTTCTTTGAGGAGGAGGAAGACGATTAACCACTAATTTGTTCCTGGTGGACATGGGGAACATTTATGTCACTCAGTCGCCTCCTTCACGTGAATTCAAAACTGTGAGCCAGTAGGGATTTGGGGGCAGTTTTCCCCTCTGCCTTTTTCCAGGATGTTCCTCCGATTTCTAAGATGGTCCCAGCTTCCTAGGCTTTCCAGGTGGTGCCCCGTCCGAACACCAAGCCGTCTGGCCCGAAAGCAAAGAATCCTGGGAGTCGTAGTCCAGCAGCTGTACCCCACCATTGGAAATGTAAAGGGCCTGGTAGGCCAGTGGGTGCATTTATGGGCAGCCCACCCACCTCCCGTTCCTTTGCTCAAATTGGCTTTTACATCCAAGGGTGATGCTGCAAGGGGATAGAGGGCGGGTGCCCTCTAGAGGCCAGAGTAGGACATGCACCCTTCCGGGACCCTTCTGATCGATTTTTGAAATGTAAACCCCATACAAAATAGGAGGGTGAGAAGGTAGATCATTAAATGTGCAAATTTATGAGGTTCCTCGCTGACAAATCCAGCAAAAAAGCAGGAAGAAGGGTGGGAAAGGTTAATTGTTAATTGTTCTCCAGGGCTAGGATTAGGGTAATGTCTCTACATTGAGAGCGGGAGGGGGGGCGCAGAGGGGAGTTTGATCTTTCCCATTGAAAAACCAACCTGTCTTTTTTTTCAGATGGTATCACGGCCACCTGACCGGCAAGGAAGCCGAGAAACTCCTCACCGACAAAGCCAGATCCGGCAGCTTTTTAGTCCGCAGCAGTCAAAGCAAGCCGGGCGACTTCGTCTTGTCCGTTCTGACGAACGAGGACAAAGCCGACACGGGGGACCGGAAACCCCGGGTGACCCACATCATGATCCGCTACCAGGTCAGGACCCGCGACGATCCCGCTTTCTTTCAGCCTGCCTCTCGGGAGGGTGTCAAAAAGGGTAGACTGGAAGGGACCTTGGAGGTCATCCATAATAATAATAATAATAATAATAATAATAATAATAATAATAATAATAGTAGTAGTAGTAGTAGTAGTAGTAGTAGTAGTAGTAGTAGTAGTAGTAATAAAGTTGGAAGGGACCTTGGAGGTCATCTAGTCCAACCCCCTGCTCAGGCAGGAAACCCTACACCATTTCGGACGAATGCCTGTCCAGTTTCTTCTTGAAAACTTCCAGTGTTGGACCACCCACAACTTCTGGAGGCAGGTTGTTCCACTGGTTAATTGTTCTCACTGTCAGGAAGTTTCTCCTTCGTTCTAGGTTGCTTCTCTCCTTGATTAATAATAATAATAATAATAATAATAATAATAATAATAATAATAATAATAATAATAATAATAATAATAATAATAATAATAATAATAAAG